ATTCCTGCTTAAGATGCCTGTCAGCTCAATATTGTTGATCCAGTCCTCAGAGGCTGGTTAACAAGTAACCATGATCCTGAAATAAATTTAAAAAAGGCTGTCCCAGGAGGGAAAATGCAGTGAAATAACTAAAAAAAAAGATATTTAGTAGGAATCAATGTACTTCTTGTCTTTGAAGATCTGGCTGTATGTTTGGGCTCCTTGTCACGCTCTGTTATATTTTTCATTTCATGTTTATTTGTAGGTTTCATTTATAATTAATATATTAATCACTTATTTATTGGTCCCATTGTTCTATAATCAATTTTATTATGAACCCTCTACTTTTTGATAGCTTCTTGACATGACTGCCACCTACTGTTGATCATTGGAATAGCAGGACCCCGTTGGCAGAACTGTGTATTACTGCAGCTGAAATATTAACAGAACAGGGACTCATTGTTAAAACCTTCCTCGTGTTCTCATGTTCTGATCTCATGTCATGATCTCTGCAGGTGGTGTGCATGAACTTTTTCGACATAGTGTTGGACTTCATTCTGATGGATGCCTTTGATGACCTGGAGAACCCTCCCTCCTCTGTGGTAGCTGTGTTGAGGAACCGCTGGCTCTCTGACAGCTTCAAAGAGACAGTAAATTTATATCCACACGTGTATGCACACTCAAATTCCATGATTATGCCACAGTAAGTTGGTTCTAACTTACTCCAGTAATAGAGTTGTGTTTTTATGTTAGGCTCTGGCAACTGCTTGCTGGTCAGTCCTAAAAGCCAAACGGCGTCTTCTTATGGTGAGATTACAGTTGAAAAATGAATATATTTTATTGTATTTTGTTTTTTGCAGTTTCCTCCATTTCTCTTATTACTCTACTTCATAGGTTCCTGATGGGTTTATCTCCCACTTCTATTCTATATCAGAACATGTGAGCCCTGTTCTGGCTTTTGGGTTTTTGGGAGCCAGGCAACAATTAAGTGAAGTGTGTACTGTCTTCAAGGTAGGAGCACACGGGACCAAAAATATGTATACTGTGTATACTTCACACATGAAGTTCAGCTTAGTGATCGTGAGCAGCACTATACAAGCCGGTCAAACTGTTGAGTTCACTTTTCTCCTCTCCATTGCAGCAACAAATCGTGCAGTACCTTAAGGATATGTTTGACCACGACAAAGTCCGCTTCACCTCTTCCCAGTGCTTGGCTGAGGACATCCTGCAGCTTTCCCACCGCAGAAGTGACATTTTACTTGGATATCTGGGAATCAATAGCCTTCTGGAGCTCAATGGTGCCCTTCCCAGAGACACAGAGGGTCCTTCAGAGCCCAGCAACAACGACTAAGGTCGCCAAGGGCCTCTTGGGGCTTGTAGAGACTGAAAGCAATGCCACTGGACTGAATCATGCTCCTGATGCCGAACCAGCAGTAATCATTGACTCATCTGTGTTCATCAAACACAACTACTATCAGAGGATATGTTTTCACCAGACCTACAGGATTACTGGTATTAATCACAGAGACCGGTTGGATCTGTGTTGCCTGTTGAGAATGGCAGCTGTAGCCAATGCAATCTTAGACGTGTGAGGACTTGTTGGGTGACATGGATACTTCTTAAAAACACACCTGACAGAAGCAATCCCAACAGAAAGACTGGACCTTCTACATTATTACTCCACATGGAGTGAGTGAGTCTCTTCAGAAAACCAGTGGGTACATTATAGCCTTTCATTCATCACCTCTTGAACTTGGTGGGATACTCTTCATGATTATGTGAAAAGAAATGGTGCATCAGTCTGTCAATATTGTGTATGTGCAGATTTTAATTTAAAGTGGGGGTGGATATTTGTTAAACCATGACAGTAACTGAAACTTGTTCTATGTGATAAAGGGCATAATGGATTCATCTCAGCACTCACTGTGCTCACAGTAAATCCTCTTTAAACTGGGGACTTATCTATTCTAGTTTGGTTTTATGTTACAAATTAAAGAGGCCATGCTAAATGCAAAAAGATGTAAAATTATGTTAATCATATAGAGGTTCAGTCATTCCTAAGCTTCAGTCTGAGTCCAGACCACAGTTTCTTCACAAAGTGGACATAACAGGGATCCAGCTAAGAGGAAAATAGTTGTTTTGTTTTGTGAGGTTTTTACTTTGTCTACATCACAGTGATCCCTCAGATTTTATCCGGCAATTAACATAAACTTTAAATGGAACAGAGGCACAAAAAAATACCACAGACACTATGTGAATACCTTCATAGAGAGTTATTGCCAGTTTTGAAGGTGTAACCAAAAATACATCACTGCTCTTAGGAAGTAAGAAGTAACTTGAAATCAATATTAGCTGATGCGTATTTCATACTCTCACAGTTAATTAGTTGGGATACTTGAATTGTTTGTATACATTTGGGCCTAAGTTGTAAAATTGCCAAGTATAATTCACTGGATACGAAGTAGTTTGGGGCAAAATGTTGCACAGACAAGTTACATGAAGTTGTGTTTTCAGTGTATAATGTTGTATGGCTGTTCTAAACTTCAAGGATACAGACTGTGGATGAGGAAAAGGTTTCAAAAACATCTGCTGTTTTCACTTAGTAGGTCTTTTTCACAGCAGACATTTTGACTTGTCATAGCAGGAAAAGCACAGCTGTTGTTGATTTATTAACAATGACTGTTCTATTCGGTTGTCCTACTTCCTATCCATCTACTTTACTATATTTCAAAGGGAAATATTGTACTTTTCCTCCACTGCATTTATTTGGCAGCTACAATTTTGCAGTGTGAGTTTTTCATACAAAACGCGATCTTCTTACAAAATATATTACACTTTTCAGTGCACAAAATTTCCTCAAGCCATTTTAGTCTGCATTTGAATCCTTAGTCTTTTCTTTTATTACAAGTGAAAACATCCAACAGTGCAATATCAATATTCCAACCTGTTTTCAATGCAGTCTCAAGTATTTCTAAAACACTTATATTTTCATCATTTCTTAGCAGCAACCTTCCTCTTTCTGTCTTGTTTCCAGCTGGAGACTCGCCTTTTGTTCAGAAATGCCTTCATGAGAGTGGGGGGGGGGTTTGCAACTGTAGTTAAAATTTGCTTTGCTCTACCAACTCTAACGGTAAAAAGCTACTTGCACATTAATGCAGTAGTGATAATCCTATGTGAGCCAGTATACACAGTACAAGGACCCTAGAGCAGAATTCCATGGTCATTCATTTTATTATTTACACCTGTGCTTTTAATACTGTGAAGGTTTAAGAAAGTGCACACCGTCGCCTAACATGTTCAGAAACAAATTTTATTAGAAACACACACGGATAGTTTTCATCACCGTACACGTCCTGTATGTCAGCTTCTTCTCGTAACATTTTAAAAATTGGCATGGCCACTCAATGGAATGGTGCCATCTACTGTAGTTGTCTTAACTAGGATATCGTTTGTTTGTTGGCTTTCATGATGACATGTAATGAAGTACCAAGTGTTGTACCAACATAAGTGCACTGATGAGATGATGAGAACCCCTGAATCCTCTGTTTTATCAATACTAAAGGGGCACTAAGATGCCAATTTAAAAGGTCCTTTGTTGCGATCTTCACATAGGTCACCACATTAGTGTAAAAGCAGGTTTGTGTCATGTAGTTTGTTTATGAGACTGTCAGAAACATGAATGAAACATAATGAAAAAGTTACTGAATGGCAGAAGTACAGTATGTGTGCTTGTTAAAGCTTGCAACATTTTGTCTGATCATTTTGTGATATACGGTTCTTGGGGAAGAAGATTATTCATAATCATATAATTGATAATCTACATTATGCTTTTGTTGCAACATGCCTGTGAAATTCAGAGCTCAGAAATGTTGTTTCTTACATGCATCATTGTGTTCTTATATAGTCCTGGCTACATCACTGTAAATAGAGCTTTTACAGTAAATTCAGTTCCTTGTTTTGACAGATGTGCAGCTTTGTTGTTAAGTATTTTGCACTTTTATGAGAAAAAGATTCAAGAATGTCCCACAGCTCTTTTTAATAACCAGTTTGAGAGTTCAGCTATACAGAGTATTTATTTATTGCATCATACAACTGACAAATTATATATTAATATAGAGCATACATGATATACATATAGTAGAGAAACTATATTTCCCAGAAAACTATGGAAATGATTTATTCTGGTTACTGTCATAAGTAGTTTTGGTCTTAATTTTACTCTCCTATTTTAACTTTAGTCTATGTGTGGTCCAATCCCTGATGAACATCTTTAAAAACTTTTTCTCCCATGTTTTAGTCAATATTGTTATTGTACAGTATCACACCGCATGCATCATGCAGGTAAATGCAATTATGGAAAAATGCTAATGTGTAGTCTTGTATCAGATTGGTCTGCTGTTTCTGTGTACTGACAGTAGATGATCAGAGTTGAAGTCCTCCACCAGTCTTTGCATGTTAAATGCATTGATCATTGTATCCCCGCAGCCTTTAGGCCCAGGCTTAGCCCTAGTTGTTGTTGTAAGCTTGGAAAATCCCAGTTAGAAATAATTTAAAGAAAATGCATAGGAACTTAAAATCATTTGAAAGTCAAATCCAGCTGTGGACTCGCCTTTGTAGTGTACATTCAGTAGATTATAGAGTTTTACACAGATGGCCAAAATGTAGAAAGAATGTCACTGTTGTGCATTACAAGTGTCCTCTTCATGCCTTTTCTTTTCTATTGTTGAATTACAATGCCAGCAACTGTAAATTGATTTTGATTCTCCATAATAAATGTTTTTTGTTACTGAACTGTTTATCATGCCTTTTCCCAGTTGATAATGGTTTGTTGTATTTCATGTCCCACAAGAAATCAAACTAATACACTGTCCTTGAAGAGGCTATAGGTAAAAGAATATTGATGAAGATGTTCTGAGATGGCTAAATCCTTATTCTTAAGTGTCAGTAACAGGAGATTGTCCACAAGGGGGCAAAACCCAAAATGTGTATTACACAGAACTGAAAGATACAAAGATCCCAGTTGCTTTTGACCAAAGCAACGTTATTCTGAATATTCCTGTGCTTACACAAGGTAATGTCAAATCTGGGTTACAATACACTATGACATACATATTTACTATGTACAGTTTATACTACATTTGTAAGATTCCACACAGTTATTATGATACTTTTGCCTTCTAGTCTTAAATGTAGGCTATACAAACTCACCTCCCTTTATGGCAGATTTCCATTTTATTCATTTCTCAAGCACATGTCAAACAAAAACTCTAAAGTCAGATAGTCCATGATTTCATTCCAAACTGAAATATCTCAAAAACAAATGAATGGATTGACAGGACAAATACTACTGACAGGTGATCTCCTTCTCTTTCCTTTCCTTGTCTCAACTACTGTTGATGGATTGTTAGCAAATCTGATGAAACATTTATGTCCTCCATCTATGGTCACCAGCAAAACAAAACTATTTCAACACAAATGGAACATTATCACCTACATGGAGGAGGATTTATTGCAGGACTGATGTATTAGACTACATTAGTTTAAGTGTACCTAATAAGATGGCAGGTGAGTGAAATGTCAGCTGTATTACAGCATTACAAAGTGGTGTTCAGCATAAGCTCTTGTCGGTTTGTGAATATTAGCAAGGGAAACTTATTGGGACCCCTTTATAATAACACCTTAAGATACAGTTTCATGATTTTTTTTGCTTTATGCTTATTAAATAACTATTATTTACGACTTGTAAATCATTTACAAATGGTGATTTGTTAGAAACATTTCATAATCTGTCCATTTAGATTTATGCTTATAGTAAATATCTGGGCAAATACCTGGTGAGGACATTATTTATGACCCAGGTGGTTAGTGATTTATAGCCCACAGTAATTTAGCAATCATGAGAAATCCATATCTTTTTGTTGAACGAGTGCAGTTCGCTGCTTTAATTTGGACTGCTGGACTTCTGTGTTTCTGTTCATTCAATAATTCTTCTCTATGGGCAGTATATGTCATCCCCAGTGTGCAGCTGGGATTGGCTGCACACTGGGGATGAGATGAGATGAGATGAGATGCACACTGCACTGAGCCCGTTTGAACACAGATCTCCGCTCACCATTGGTTAGACACGTGTCTGGGGCGTTTCACTGGGGCTGCCCGGTTGTGTCCGGGTAAGATGGCGTTGGAGGAGCAGTGCTCGGCACCACTTCGATGGCGGTCCATATCTCTGACACACGTAGAGTTCCCCGAGGGTACGTCAACTCAGCATATTCTTCTAACTACTTGAGCTCTGTTGAACACCGTTAGCTTTGTAATTTTCGAGGACTGCGTGCGTTTTCCCTGCTGAATGGACACGGCCGTCGGCGATACTGCCAAATCGTGAGATGCTGTAAAGACCCGAGCACAGCAGGGAATGTGTCCCGGACTGCAAAATAGTGAGGCGGCGCCGCATGCGTAGTTGGTGATAATGTCCACAATGGAAGCTATGTAGCCTGCTAGCTGTTTTAAAATCGGCTTTGATGTTTTTCTCTCACGAATGGGCGAATAAGCTGTAGGCTGTAAGAATTATTCGACAAAATTCAAGCATTCTGAACAGCACTGTGTGATTTATGATTGTGGTGGAAATAACTAGCTATTTCATCTTACAACGTTGTTGCCAGGGCTAATGCTAACAGTAGCTAGCCCATTGGCCTAAAATTGATTAGCATAACTATTATAAACCACGTTGCACCGAGCTGACCTAACTAACACTATCATATAATGTGGTCTGTTAGTTAGATGATGGACTAATTACTCCAGAGCTTTACTCCAGCACAACAGCTTCATGCCTGTGTTCACAATTAAATATTCAAGGCATCCGGGTTTACTGAGTTGGTGTCACTCCCACCAAGTGTCTTTATTTATGTTTATGAAATATCCTAACACCAATAACGTTACTATGTCACTGTTTTAGATGATCTGACCGGGCGAATGCTGGCCTACATCAGTCTGCTACCCATAGCAATTATTGTGGGTTTCGTAACGCTCATAGTGTTTAAACGGGAGCTGCACACGGTGAGAGCCGCACACGCACTTTGAGTTGTTTTAGAAAAAGCATCACATGTAAAGTCAGTCAAGCTGTTAACTGTCTGACAGGAAGGTTTGTGAGCACTCCTGTTCACCGGCTTTCTTTTTTATCTCTACAGATTTCCTTCTTTGGTGGTGTCATCCTGAACGAAGGGGTGAACTGGGTCCTGAAGCACATTCTCAGAGAACCACGCCCCTGTGCAGGTGAGTGGAGGAAGACGGTGGCATCACGTCAGCCAGAATATAATTGTCTCAGTTACGAGTTGTCTAGTCTGTCTTCCTCACACTAGGTTGTATTATGATCAGAAACTGGCATCCTGTGTAATGCACATTCCCTCAATAATAGGCAGGTAAAGAAAGCAACAGAAAGATGTTCCATAATTCATTTTTAATGCGTGAATTTCATTAGTATAACATGCTTGCATCATACTGAATTGAAAGTGTTACTCTGTTACTGAGGCTGAAGCAGCAGATTACAATGCTTTATCAATATAATGGCCACCACAAATGCTGGACAATATGATAAACATCTTCTGTCACCATATGTCCACATTTATAGTTGTTTTTTTTTAAATACAACAATTAAATATTTTCAAAAACATTTTTGATAAATGAATAGTCTTTTTTTTTTTTTTAAGCAGTGTTTTTTCTAATAATTTAACCAAATGTCTGAATTTGTGACTGTTGTCAGGAAAACTAAGATGTTGAAGGCACCACTTTGTGATGAACGTAATTGTCATTTAGAGCTCTAACTTATTCTAGGGCTAAAACTAATGATTAATTGTATTATTGGTTCTTCTGCTTATTTCCTTTATTAATCCACTCATTGCTCTGTCTATAAAATGTAAAAATAAAGTGCTTGTTATAATGCCCTTACAGCTTAATGTGATCTTGTGTCCAATCAACAGTATGAAACCCCAGTTATTTAGTGTACAGTTATGTAAAACAATGAAAAGTGACATTATTTTTGTTGTGATTTTGGCTCATCTAAATTAAATACTCAAATCATGGTGCTTCATCACATTGATGGGGAAAAAAAAAATCATACACCTTCATGCATACATACATTTTGTGAATGATTATGTATATCGGGTTCTGTTTCCTTTCTCCAGGGTCCCACACAAACCTGCCCTCAGAATATGGGATGCCCTCCAGTCATTCCCAGCTTATCTGGTTCTTTGTTGTTTACTTCTTTCTTTTCCTTTATTTAAGGTGAGATTGTTTCTTCTTGCTGTTTGAGGAGTTTTAACTGTCAGTCAAAATTTTATTTATATATCACAACATCTAGCTGACCAAAGTGCTTCACACAATAGAAAGAGATTGTTGACTGTAAATCTCTGGAAATCTTAAGAATCAAGATCTGAATAACATTTTAATTTTGCTGGTATGTTTGTATCTAAAATGATAAAGCTGACAAAACATTTTTTGTGCCACTTCCAGCTATATTAAATCACTGCCATGCATTTCTATTTGTATCTGTTATTTTGTGGGGTTTTTCCAGGACATGGTCAAAAGTTTGACGTCACCTAGTGACATTCTTTCTACAACTGAAATCAGCTATTGTTTGAATAGATAGCACTGTTACATGAATTGAATTCATGTTTTTGAGTATCACTCATTAGTGCCATCCCACCTTTACAGGAAGTAGATGCTACAGTGTGAAGTCCTGTTCATGTCTCTTTTCAGAATGCATCAAACGAACAATGCTCGGTGTGTGGACCTGCTGTGGAGACACATACTGTCCATCATCCTGTTGGGCATGGCCTTATCAGTTTCATACAGCAGGTAAGGTACTAAGCCTGCTCACTAATGACACCGGGAACCAAATTGTACTTTTTCTTTTGTAACATTTTGTGAAAACACCAAGTCTGACTCTTCTTTTTTTATACTTGCATGCTGCTCCAAGTACAATTTGTTTTCTTGAACATTGCCTTTCTTCCTCTTACTCTGTCATTCTCAGAGTCTACCTGTTGTATCACACCTGGAGCCAGGTTGTCTATGGTGGAGTGGCCGGTACTACAATTGGTATAATCTGGTTCTTTTTCACACAAGAGGTGCTGACACCGTTATTCCCCAAAATAGCAGCATGGTAAATAGTGCTCTCATTTATCTACTTCCTCCTTGTGTAACAGGAGAAGACAATTTTCATTCTCAGCCTGTGAATAAAACTAGTCCATTATGGTTTTTGTAATATTCTGTCAATTTCCTTTTTACAATTCCTAGGCCAATATCAGAGTACTTCCTGGTACGAGACACAAGCCTGATCCCCAACATCTTATGGTTTGAGTATACAGTGACCAGATCAGAGGCAAGGTGAGATACTGACTTGGAGATGTACTCACCCACTACACCACACCTACAGTATCACAACTGAAGCCCAGTAATGCCAAAAAATAGCACAGTGAAGTTGACCGACTGGTGGCATACATTGTTGGTTACATGCTAGCACTAGTCAGCCTTAGCTCATTTGCTAATGAGACAGTCTTGCAGTGTATTCAAAAGAATTATTTGTACCATCGACTACTGTTTCCTGACTGTCTACAAACCGTCCCTCTGTTGTAGAATGGGTAATACTCCAACAGAGGAGGGTAAATTAGAAAGTGGATGGTTTAGCAAAGCTAATAGGTTATGATAGCTTGGCTTGTCGTTCTCTCAGAGATCTGTCGAGACAGACTGCTGTTGCTAAAAGGCACATATACTTCATTGTATAATGCAGTTTCATAATGAATTGACTGCCTTGTGGAATTTCTGCTTTTTAAATTCTTTAGTATGTTGGAGACTGTTCTTTTGTTTTTTTTCTTCTTCTAGGAACAGACAACGTAAGCTTGGAACAAAACTACAGTGATCTACACAGTTCTTTGAAACTGAGTTTAGGACCACACACACACACACACACACACACACACACGCACATTCTAATGTACACACACAAACATATGCTCATTTGACAAACACACTGGAGAACCCCATCTTTTCTGGACTTTTCTGGACATGGTTGCAAGGAGCAAAGGGCAGAACCCGTTTACAGGTGGTGAAAGAGTGCCTGGACCTGGCCCGGAGCCTGCAGCCGGTGCAAGTCCCTCCACACGCCTCTCCTCCTTGTACAGCTTGCCCAAAATGTTCTTTGATGCATGCAAGACTGTGCAAGAGGCATACTATTTAATGATAGATTAATATATATATTTTAACTATAAACGCACGCTGACAGTAATAGTGTACTGGAAGAGATTCGAGGAGGCTTTGGTGAAGTTTCAAAAAATTGGTGGGTGTCATTACAGCATGTATTTAGTGATTCCTTTTTTTTTTTTTTTTTTAATTGATGGATAGTCGGTGGGACACGGGGCAGGGGTTTATGGCATGGTTGGGGGTATGTAGACTTAACCATTTTTCATTGTTGAACCATTTCTAAAATTGGTTATGATGTAATATAAATGAAAATTTGCACTTTGAAATTTACAAGTCGAAAGAAAACGACTAACACTAGTTACACGTTGAGACCCTCCTCCCCCTTTTCTCTCATCAGTCTTTGCTTTGTGTCTATGACTGTCAGTCCTAATCTATTAGACTCCAATGCTGATCTGCAAGCAATGTAAATTCGGTGTACCTTTTGTACTATTGAGGTTGTGGTTTCTGTTCATATCCACTTTGAGGATAATGAGACTGACTCACAGCAGGTTTCAGTTGTTGCTGATCACAACGTGGACTGAGGTGGTGTTTTCTTAAGGTCTCGCACACAGTAGCAGCCTGGGAACAGACTTCTGGGAATCTGTTTTCCTTTTTATATTCCATTTCTTATCTTGTTTTCTGCTGTTGCAGAAAAGTTTCTTTTTAATTGCTTTTCCAAGATAACATTCCATATCATTTAGGGAGAGAACTTACATAATGACTGCTGAGGGGATACGTTTTCTTTTTGAAGAAAGGACAAAAAAAAAAGCCTCAGGTCAGTCGTAGCATGTGATTATATGCTTAATTCCAGCCATGGCAGCTTATGTTGAAAGCTGTCAAGTGGAGATCTGAAGCTGATTTAAAACTCATTATTAGCTCCACAAAGGGAAGTAGCTCTCTTGGAATATGTTTTTTTTCATGTGTAACCTATATCAGGCTGAATAAAAATGTGTTTATGTACAACAGATGGTTCCAGTGTCATACTTCCGGTTACTTTTTGCATTCAAAGTTAAGCATTACTTGAAACAGGAAACTGATAGTCTGATTAACCGCTCGCTACATTTTCCATTCGTGTGTAGTTTCCACTCGTAGTCGAGAGAACTGAACAGACATCTTGATGCCACAACACACAAAGATCACGAAGTGATTGCAGGTCATCTGGAGGTGGGCATGAGCCAAAGTTAATTCACTGTGAGGACCAAATTTAACATAATTTATCTCCAACAGTGGTTCAGATGTATTTCAGTCTTGATCAAAGCAGTGGACCAGAGCAGATGGTTAAAATATAACAGCAGGCCATATGTTCTTTGATACAATACAGATTTGCTGGTATGATCTGATAAAGCGAACATTAATCAGTGAAATTTTTCCAACCCCTTTTCCCCCCAAAGCGATAAACTACTGTGGAAAATGTGTACCAATGCATACAAATATTATTTACCAGAGACAGAAGTGTTTAAGTACATAGACTATATAAGCGAGTGGAGGTGACAAATGAAAAATAGTCCTTTGTTCAGTTCAGACAAGGGAGCGTCAAGCATTTCTCGACTGCACTCTATTCTCCAAGGGGATTGTTGACAACTGCATGAAAATATACTTCAGGCCTATCCTCGTGACTTGCAGAGCACAAAAGAAACATCGGCCCCATTTAAACAACCCATTCCATTTTAGATTCACTTTTCAGGTGTAACCTCAGGCTATCCCCAAACACCCACTGGGAACAGGCATCGCTGAGATAGAAACGATGAAGTCCTTGACCTATTTCTGTTTCTCTAAGCTAGTTTGTCTGACCTGCACTGTTTGGATGAGCAGTGAGCACTTCAGTGGAAATTGTTTCTGGATGCGTGTCAGTGGTTCAGAACTAGTCACATTCTCCCTACAGATGTGTTTTTATTGAATTGAGCCTGACTCCACTGAACAGATGTTTAATTCTAGTCTGTAGTTATGGCCATAGTCTGCCTGGACATTATACATGGAGGCATACTGTATTACACACTTCAGTTTAAAAATCAGGAGGCTTGACATCAACTGGTTGGAGTTGTTATTACAACACTATGATTATGTCACAATGTACAATGTAAAGCAGCAAATGATCACTCCACAGCCTCAGTCAGCCTCAAACTACGCAGCAGTTTGCTTCTAGAAGAGTGAAATGTGTAATAAGTAAAAATTATAAATGTGGCAGTAAATACTGATATAGTTTATACTGTATCTCAGTGCCAAAATAATTAAAAGAACACCAATTAACTTGGCTATTGCAGTTTATTTTCAGTCAATTCCAGACTATTCTGCTGCTGGATATGTACCAATCCACAGCTGAAACTAGTTACCAGTAAATGCTCTATTTCCTCCACATAAATATAAGATATATGACTTCAGTAAAACAATAGACTTGTGGTTAAGAGCCACAAACAAAGTAGGGAATTTATAGAAGTACTGAGAGACGTGCTAACACTTTTCTGGGTTTTTTGGGGGGAGGGGTTGTCTTGACCAAAATGAAGAATAATACCAGCCTATTCTAGATCTATTATTCTGCATTTTTGATATGTGAGATGAATGCAGTTCACTGATTGATATTCACTTTAATCTGTTCCCTGGGGAACAAATTAAATTGCTAATCAAACAGTGGCCCCGGTTTGATTAACAAGCTGCTGTCTAACTTCATCTGTTCCACAGTTGATGTGTTCCATGTGATTCATTGGATTGGCTGAAATATCCGCTCACATTTTGGCTAAGCTTTGCATTTGCTTTGTAATAATAAGTAATGGTACATGTGCGTTTTTGATAACTTTAGGTTCTGTGCTTTGAACTTAAGATGTTACTAAAAGACGATAGGACATAAACCAACAGGATGCTCAGAATATTTTCCATTGAGCTGCTGATTTGTGTGACGTGTTTTGCAGTAAAGTCCACAAATGGTGACATGTTTGTTAGACAGTAAAGGTCATTAAAAAGTCTGAATCAAGGGGGTTTGAACTGACTCAACCAGCTTCTTTGCATTTAGGTCCTGAAGACAAACACTGACATTGTCTTCATAATTTAATTTTCCTTTCCTCATTTTCTTTCTTTCTTCTTTTACTGACAGGCAAGTAAAATTTCTGCCAACAGACACTGGCAAGGATTTCACAGTTGCATCTCACAGGACACTGGCAGTGTGTTCTGTCTTAGAAATGGAAGTTGTTCATTGAAATCAGGAAATTTACTGTCAAAAGCTTGAACACCATTGTTGGACTCAGTATACATGTACAGTCACAACTCACACATGCATTGTGTAAAATGCAAATACCATAAGCACGTGCTCTTTAAGTGTAGTCACAGTGCCTTAAGAAGATTTGATTTGATAAATGAAGATTAAGAATGATTTTTTTGCTCCAGTAATGTTTCAGACACTTGCCTGTACAGTAGTTCACTATGCAGTAACTCCAGTATCAGTAACACCTGCAATATTTCACTGATGACTCATCATTTTGGAATAATTCCTGTTCTTAGGGTAATGCACATGAAGTTCATTGTCAAAAATACATGTTGGGTCAAATCCTTCGTTGTATACAATGTGTTTCTCCTGCTTCTACTGTTGATCCAGTACCACTAGATGGCACCCGGCTTACAGTACATGTGCTTTAAGGACTGTAATGAGATCGGCACAGATCTGTTTAAGACCTATCACACAGGCTTTCTGTAACTTACACTACCAGCTAAGACAAGCATGTGAGTCTCTGTGAGCTTCATTCAGCTGCTTCTATCCCTTTAATAGTCTTGACAATCATTTGGTGGAGCCCATTTTGAGCTGTGAAATATCATTGAAGGGTTAGTTATACTCAAGCTGAAATAGATTCACCAATTGTAATAAAGAAAATAGCAAAGAAATCAGGAAACAGGGTAACAACATAAATAAAACTTAAATAATGAAGGTGAGTTTAATGAAGGCATTTACGTACAGTATATCAACCCTGCCAATGTATCTTGAAACCCTGGAGAGTCTGTGATGACGTGTAGTTCCTGAACCTCTGTCTCTTCCACTGAAACATGTAAACAAAGTGTTTGTACAGATACATTTTTAGACAAGTGTATAAGCAATGGCATAAGGTATGTTCAAACAGTCGCCCTCAGGTTTCCTTTTTGGTCTCTTGGATAGAACATACAATACAACAAACAACCTGATCGTATGCTATACTTAACTACAACAGTGTTTTAGCAAATGTTAAAGTGACGGCAGCTTCTTCACTTCCCCAGGCTGGTTTCTTATTCTCTCTCTCTCTCTCTCTCTCTCTCTTTCTCTGCCTTTGGTTTTTTCATCTTTTGAATATAAAAAGGTCATAATGAGCAAAATATACCTTAATCTGATCTAAGATCTTAAAGCAGCTCACTAATTCACTGAATTGTGTGAGAAAATCAGTGAGAAAAAAGTGAAAAATAATCTAGATTTTCCATATAAGTTGCTGAGAAAGTAAAATCATCAAGTGTTGATATTTTGTGGACACTTATTCAAATGTCTGTAGGTCCCAGTTCTAGGACTCAGTTCTAGACAAAAATGACTTGATAATAAGATGTTTTATAGTTTTTAATACATCTTATTTTTTGTTTTGTCTGAGAAGTCTTACTCTTATTGAAGTAACTAATAATATATGTAGAGTGCTAGAGACATACAACCACACACACTCACACTCACAGGCAATTTAGAGTCACCAGTCAACCTAAGCTACATGTCTTTAGACTGTGGGAGGAAGCTGGAGCACCTGGAGAGAACCCATGCAAACTCCACACAGAAGGCCTCAGGTCAGCCCAGCCTCGAACCCGGACAATTCTTGCTGTGAGGCGACAGCACTACTCTTGTACATTTCTTTATCCCATTTAGTTTTATGAAAATACCAACAGAATGTTCGATAAATCAATGACTTATATACAAATAACATTCACTGTAATATGATGTTCAGGTCAATGTCAAAAGGTTTTAATGTCTGCACTTCATTCCTGTCTTAGTTTTTCCACAGTTTCTCCACCAGGGGGCAGAACACACTATCCTAAACTCTTCTGTGGAACGTAGAGGTTACCTTGCATCATGGGCTGGTTCAAGGACAAAACAGTTATCTAAAGGACAAAAATTATTGGGAGTCAAATTGTGATTACACTGTTGTTTGCATATACAGTATCTATTGTGCAGTAATAGTGAAAGCTCTGTCCTTTGACATTAAAGTTTGGTGAGTGCATAGTTACAGTACCTGGATTAAATTTTGTCATAGTCTAGAAATAATCTCCAAAACTCTGACATTGCAAGATGATTTAAAAGCTTTGATTGCTGAGATTTTTTTCAGTTCTGGTGTCTCACCTCTTGTATTTTGTTTGCCTTTATTTAGACAATAAGGAAAAAGTGAGGGAAACAGCAGAGATTCTCTCTTTGGTCCTGGACCAGCTGGTGAACATGTGGTGCTATTTTTACACAATATGGTGCTTATGTTGAGCTAATTTTAATATTGCAGTGGCTACAACAAACAAACAAAACACCAATACAGTTCTTCAGCTGCGGCATGACACTATTTATATCCAATTTTGTACAAATGTACATCTGCTCTATACACCTGTTCTAGTAAAATCTATGCCTCATTGTCTCATACAGCTACAGAGTGGATCTAATTGGCACAAGTTGTACTCTAATTTATGAGTCAGTTTCACATTTGAGAAGATGGGGGTGAAAGCTGCACAAATGGGGCACACCTTTGGGCCATGCAACCCTCTTCACCTCAGTGAAACAGTGAGCTGTGAACCTGTAGAAACAAATAAGAATATTTGAGTTTTACAGACAACTGAATATACAGTGGAGTGCATCCACTGTGACCACTTAAATCAGCAGAATTTTTGTTTATTTCTGCACACCCTGCAGATAAAAAGCCACATCATCATTCATTTGTAGTTGTATTGCTGGCAAACAGGTGAATGTAATGGTACTTATTCTTCTTTTAGC